TCGGGTAGTCGGGTAGACGGTGAGAATGGGACTAATCCGTTCAGCTCCCAACAAGTGGGGCGTCTCAGTGTCAAAACAACGTCGTCCATCACAGGTTACCATCATTTGGATGAGTGTGTGCTTCAGGATAGGGCGGATAGGGAGTAAGGGGCTTGGATTTGTTTAAGGAAGCTGAACAACATAGAAAGTATTCCCCAGAAGGGGATTATATATAGAGAAAATAACAAATCGCCGTCACCTCAAGAAAACCAGGGGGGTCAGAAGCAAGTCTATACAGTCTATACATGAAGTATCAAAGCGCAGCAAACATTAAATATACTTGCCTCTTTGGGGTTGGGCTTCTCTGACCCCGTCCAGCATCGTCCAGCGGAAATCAACATGATTTTCGGATTTTTCCCCAAGTTTAACTTCAATTAACTAATATGTAGTGAGACAATCACTCTTCTCCCACGTGGCGATTCTCCGTTTGACTCGCTCGCTCCTGGGCTCGTTTCAGCAGCTCTGACCTGAGCGCGGCGTTTTCACCGATGCAGGCGGCGTTTTCACGCCGATGTCCTCCGGCCCGTCGTTTTCACCAAGGGCGCAAGTCAATCTGATGGCACACACATTCGGGGGAGCGAACTGTCCAAGTTCACCGTCAGGTCTGTCTTGATCAAATGTTTGCATGCTTCCCAAACTTATAAAGCGACTTCTGTAGAGCGGATTCTCACAAAGTGCAGCCCAAGCGCAGTAGAGGTTGTTCTGTTGAAAGGTGGTGCTGAGCAAGAGTGATTGGTGGAACATGGTGGAACATGTTCTGGGGCGGCGTTCATCTTAAGAATCTCACATAGCCTGGTCTGGTTGCAGCCAACTCGTCCATGTCAAAGTCCCGTGAAGTCCCACGTGTCCCAAGTCTACCATCACACCAAGATCCACTTTTCGTCTCCAGGTATGAAGAAAGCAACCGCACCTGAATTAATAAGCAAAGCCCTGCAGTTGGCATGTCCTTCTGATTTTTTGAAGGTCATGCCACGAACGTTTTGGATGGCTGCCACTTTCAGCATGGACCATGCAAGGACTTCTTGTGTCGAAAGGGAACATAGACTTCCAGGGACCCGCTAAGGTTTGACTCCCTGTTAAACACCATCTCCAACATGGACTTATGTCCAATATCAGCAGATTCTCAATAGGGTTTCAATCGTCATTACTTCTCATGTTGTTTTCTATCAAGACTCAAGACATGAGTTATGGATATCATTATGGTTATTAAGCTTGTTAGGGAAGCCCAGATCACAGGGTTCATTCCCAACAAAAGATCAACAACTCAACAATCGAACGTTTCACAAATCTCTCAGAGTGCCGACTTTGGCTCAAGAGAACGAGCTGTGCAAATAGATCAGGTGGACCAACCAGCCTATCAATCTATGAATCTATTCATCCTATCCATCAACCATACCAAGTGGACATACCCTCTGTTTTTGTCGAAACACTGCTGTCCACGGTGGAGTCTGGTAGAAATACAAAGCGCGAAAGTCTTGTTGAACACTGCGGAAGTTGGTCTGTCAGCATTCATCAATACGGGGAGTGCAAACCGATACGGAGACACCACCCAACTTGGACAGCCTAGAACCCATGTTGGGTGGTCCCCATCTGAGCACCCACCCGTCCCACCCCCGCTGTCACGCTCCTTGCGTCCCAAAGACCGACACGTGGACAGCGAACGGAGCGCCACGGAAGATTGGCCTCGAGAGCGCTGCGCCACGCACGTTCGCACGAACGGTTCAGCCCATGGAGTCCGGTATGGCCCAAGGACCGACCAGTCGTCCGATTGGACAGGACGACAGGTTTGAAGTCAATGTCCAAAGAACAAATGGGCTGCTGTAGATGCGTATGGGATTCAAAAGAATAGAATGGGTCTTGTTATATGTTTCGTTCATAGGGCAGTAATTCACTCGTTGAGATGCTGCTCAAGGTCACGGATATTTTAGCCACTGAACCCAAAAGGAAGCCCACTCTGTTCAGGGCGAACAAATGCGAACAGCACCTGCCAGTGGCAAAGAATGTTCAAGTCTACAAACCCCAAACATCACAGAAAAAGAAATAGATAATAGTAAGTAGATCTATGATAAATATACTGTATACATGATAGATCATGATAGACATGTGGTTTCATCACATCCTTGCATGTGTCTTTCGTCCAAGATCACTCTCCTGACCTGCGGAGCCAGAAAACACGGGTCTTTGAGCTCAACGCACATCCAAGAGAGAACCATCAAATGAACATGTTGTAGGCAATCATGACCTTTCGGATCAATGTTTGATATCTTCACAACCCCAACGTGATTCAATCCATTCTTGCTCCCGTTGGATGTCCTTGAATCCACGACCCGGCCACAGGCCCCTGGGGCCGGAGACAAAGCCGCTCCTCTCAAAACAAACCCGGTCGCTTGGGGTGACACCATTGGACAAGTGAATCTGAAAACCCTAACAGGTACAACATGGTACAGCAAAAGACAAATGATCACGTAGAGTTTACTGCAAAAAAATACTTCGCATGGGCTGTGCCCAAAGATTGATAGGCCTTAGGGCATGGACCTAATCTTAGATGAAAACATGTTTACCTGGTATTCAGGATGTCATCTGCTCGGAAAGGACTCATGCTGCATGTTTCTTCCTACTGTAGTATGCTTCGCATGCCTTGAACAACTGTTCGGGATCTTTAAGAAGCTCAGCCCAGTGTGTGCCCCGCTTCAAGCTCCATCTCACTCAAGTGGCTCCTGCTTCACCCAAATGAACTGGGCCATTGAAGTACCCTCCGGCAGAGTTACTACCTCTCATTGTATCATGACTACTGGCCTTATCAATCTTACCAACTGTGTTTTCGCTCTCAACACGTGAAACGGACTCTGAACCTTCGCTCCCGGCTCTCTCCCTTCCCTCCACACGGACCGTCCTCCGCAACGGTCATTTCAGGCCCCTGCCGCGACCTCGAGTGATCTTTGGTACACAGGTAGTACATCCTGCTGTTTCGTCATCTGGTTGGTGGCATCAACTGACTTGAACAGTAATAACACATGTATGTATGTATGTATGTATGTATGGTATGGTATGGTATGGTATGGTATGTTACGTTATGTTATGTTATGTTATGTATGTTACGTATGTGTATATATATACTAAATACTAGCCAGTGGGCTCCAAAATCCTCAGTACAGGTTGAACATAGCCACCAGGTATCATCTAACATATATGTCCATGGCCAAGAAATGCGGTATCACTAACCTCCCAAACTGTTTGCCCATACACACCCAGTAGGTATTCAGCATCTCTGAAAGCTGATATGCCAAAGGGACACACCTCCCAAATCTTTCATCAGGAGGTAAGAATCCCTTCTCTTCCCCTGTGACAGCAGGCTTGTTCGGCATCAACACCCTCTGACTATAGACCTCACTGAGCACCCCAGCCGAAGTGTCATGGCGGGCGCGGTTTGGCCAGAATTGAGGCTGTTGGAGTTGAGCGTCTTTTGATGTTTCACTCCGCTTGATGGTACAAAGTCAGAATAGTCTTCGTTTCAACTTGCAGTTCTAGTCTCCCTGTGTTTGGCGGGAAAGCAACCAAGCTGGTAAAAGATCAGCAAACTATTCAGCTTCTCGCATGACCTCACAGTAGCCAAAAGTGCGGAAATATGCGGGAATAACATGTTCAACCTCATTTCATCATCAACCCGGCTGTTCCACGGGCTAAGTGGCTGCAGAGAAAATGACATCTGTAAAAGACTTGCCTATCAAATGTTAGGAAACACCCACATGTGGACGGAAACGAAACACACAACAAACAAACAAACAAACAAACAAACAACAACAACAACAACAATCACAACCACAACCAACAACCAACAACAACCAACAACAACCAACAACACCAACAACACCAACAACACCAACAACACCAACACCAACAACAACAACAACAACAACAACAACAACAACAACAACAACAACA